TATGCTCCAAAGCTCTGACTGTCTGAATCCGGAAGTCCCAGAGGAGTTTGGCGTGTTCATTCTCTGTAACTCTTTCCGGCTTCTTTGTTGCAGGCAGAAGGTATTTGTGGCACAAGTTCCAATGAATCATCTGAGCAACGGTGTTACGCCTCTGCTTGTAGTTTGTCTGTGCGATCTTCTTGCAGCAGCTGAGGATATGATCTATTGTTTCATCTGCTTATCCTGCTTTTATCCTGCTTTTCTCCATGGGACTCAAAACAGCGAGCATGGTTAAAATAATAGAAATTACATGACACAAAAGCAAAATAAAACTGATAAACAATAACACAATTACATAAACCATAATTCTATGTTCCTAAGCACCTTGTGTCCTTTAGCTTAAAGAAGCTTCATGTTCTCTCATATATATACGTTAACTGTACTTCTCTATACAGGTGAGGATTTGAAACTCCTAGACTGGGCCATTGCAAGTTATTTTCCTGCCTTAAGAAAAAGACAAGGTGTCACTCCCTCGTCAGCATGTCATGCACAGAAGTGAAGTGGATTATCAGTTGATATATAGAGAGAGAGGGGAGGGGGAGGGGGAGAGAGAAGTACATATTGAGAGAGAGTCACTGGTGAGGGGATAGTATCCTCCAGCATTTGGGGGGGGGGGTAAATTAGAAGGTGCAGGATAAATTACATTACATGTGCCAAACTCAAAGACCACAAGCTGAATCTGGCCAGCCATGGCACTTTATGCTGCCCTCCAGATGCTGGACTCCTGTATTCCTCATCATTAGACATTATGAACAGAAATGATGGGAACAGGAATGCAGTAGCATCTGGAAGTTTGTTCTGTTTAAGCAGAATAGTGAGGTTCAAATTTGGACATGATGTTTGACTTTTAAAAGTCCTTTAACCTTTTCCCAACCTCGGAGCCATAAGTGTTGCTGGGTTGCAATTCCCACTAACCCTAGCCTGCATGGCATATAATCAAAAGTGAAGAGAGTTTTCATTCAATATCATCTTGGGATCTAAATTGGGTAAAAACTAAAGAGCAGCAACCACTATGTAAAAAAGATTTGTAGTCAGTTCTCTGTATCTATGGATTCTCCATCCATGGATTCAATGGTCCTTTGAAGGCAACCTTAAGGCTGATATGGCTCCCGATGGAAATGAGTTTAACACCCCTGAATTACATAGACAGTTGTGTTTTCCACTGAGGAGATGGACTGGAGGACTCAAGAAGAATGGTTTGCAATGCTGCCTCACAGTTAGTTCGCTTTGACTAAAACTAGGGATAGCCAGCTACAGTGTGTCTCAACCTTCCTAATGTTGCGATCCCTTAATATAGTTCCTCATTGTGGTAGCCCCAACCATAAAATTATTTTCATTGCTATTTCATAACTGTAATTTTGCTACTGTTATGAATCGTAATATAAATATCTGATATGCAGGATGGATTTTCATTCAATGGACCAAAATTGGCACATATACCTGGTACACCCAAATTTGAATGCTGACGGCGTTGGGGGGGGGGGTTGATTTTGTCATTTGGGGGTTGTAATTACTGGGATTTATAGTTATCCTGAAATCAGAGAGCATTCTGAATACCAGTGATTGAATTGAACCAAACTTGGCACACAAAACTCCCATGCCCAACAAAACACTGAAAGGGCTTGGTGGGCATTGATCTTGAGTTTTGGAGTTGTAGTTCACCTACATCCAGAGAGCACTGTGGACTCAAACAATGTTGAATCTAGACCAAACTTTGCACAGAAACTCAATATGCCCAAATGTGAACACTGGTGTATTTTGGGAAAAATAGACCATGACATTTGGGAGTTGTAGTTGCTGGGATTTGTATTTCACCTACAATCAAAGAGCATTCTGAACCCCACCAATGATAGAATTGGTCCAAACTTCTCACATAGAACCCCCATGACCCCCACGACTGTGTTTTCTGATGGTCTTTAGTGATCCCTCTGACACCCCCTCGCGACCCCCCCCCCAGGGGTCCCGACCCCCAGTTTGCGAAACACTGATGCAGATGGTAATATACTGGCTAACACTTCTGACTGCATGAAAACAGGGTTAAGAGAACTCCTAAGAAAGCACTCTTCTTGTTTTCTTTTGCTTCTGCCGCCAATTTGTTCTTTTCCTGCTCTTTGAGGGCTGGCATCTTTTTTTCTTTCCCACTCACAGATAAAGAGAGTCATTGACCTATTTATACATCTTGCTGCTCTCAAAGCAATCTGGAAGCAGGAGGAGAGAGCATGTGAGGCCACTGCTAGAACATAATCAGGTGTCCATAGATTCTCCTTTCTTCCAATAAGCAGAAGAAGAGAAAACAAGAAGCTGTTGGGTGGCTGTAGAAAAATGTTTGAATTGTTTCACCTACATGCTGTCAGACCGGGGGATAAAATTTCAGAGTAGCTTTCTCTGCTCAGTTTGGCCCAAATGACAAAACCACTTACCAATTAGCCTTGAAGTCCAATAAGAGAGTTGTTCATAGGGAGAATGGACCTGATTTCATACAAAATACACATTAACATACTGTTACATACTCACATACTTGGAGTACATACACTCACATACTTGGAGAAGACAATTATGCTGGGGAAAATGGAAGGAAAAGGGAAGAGGGGCTGACCAAGGACAAGATGGATGGATGGCATCCTTGAAGTGACTGCCTTGACCTTGAAGGAGCTGGGGGTGGTGACGGCCGACAGGGAGCTCTGGCGTGGGCTGGTTCATGAGGTCACAAAGAGTCGGAAGGGACTGAACGAATAAACAACAACAATACTGTTACCAGTAAGCAAAATAATCAGGCTGTTCTTTCTCTTCTTCCTCTACTTCTTTCATAATTTTATCTTTTTGTTCATTCTCTTATATTCTCCCACTCAGCTTACCTTCAAGCAGTTCGACCTCTTACCAAGTTTCCATGTCTTTCTTATTATTATGTATTTTACCATTCTTTGAACTTTCGAAAACCCTCTGCTTCCCTATGAGGCCACAGAGATCCTTTTCCTTTCTGTTTCTTTATGATCTCCCTCCACAGGATTATCTTCTCTCCTAAGTTTTTAATAGTCTTTCTCACTCACTTTTCCTTTTTAAAACTTATTTTTCCAGTAACCTTATGTGAGAGTGGGTCTTTAATGTGATCCAGAGCTCTGGCACTAAAACTTATCAATTCTAAAACTCTTTGTAGGAACAGCAATACCCCCAAATGGTTGTACTTCTATTTGGTGCGGAGTTATTTCACTGCAATGGTAAAACAACTTGAGTTCTGGCCTCAAGTTCATTAACTGAACACTCACTGGAAAGAAGGGAGAAGGATGTTGTAGCAACATGGTATGATATGCTAACCAAAGCTCTGACTACCATGCTCAAGTCTCTGCCCTCTGTCCAAGATGGAATCAGTAAAATTAGCTAACTTCACGTTTTATAAAAACTTACCTCCTTCCCCATTCAAAAAGTGTGTATATTAGGTTTAAGAATGTATGCAGTTCTGGTTACTGTTCCGCATGAAGCCGATGGTATTACTGTAACACTGTTCACCAAATCTGCTCAAAGGACTCTGCAGCAACAGCATCATCTAGTGTTTAGAACGCTTCCAGCATATGTTGTCAAAGGCTTTCGTGGCTGGAATCACGGGGTTGCTGTGAGTTTTTCTGGGCTGTATGAAAAACCATGTTTCAGAAGGATTCTCTCCTGACCCACATCTATGGCAGGCATCCCCAGAGATTGAGGGATCTGTTGGAAACTTACTTACTTAGGCGATCCCTTGTTGTTTGAGTAACATTGTCCGCCAAGGTCAGTTTACTGGCGGTGGGTACTTTGGTGACTGTGGAGCCCTATTTTTGACTTGCATGTTCTCCTGCAGTAAGGGCATTGGTTTCCAGGTGGAAGGTGGTCCCGGTCGGGGTTGGCTTGATGCGTCTTCCTCTTGGCATGTTTCTCTCTTTCATCCTCCATTTGTGCCTCTTCAAATTCTGCAGCACTGCTGGTCACAGCTGACCTCCAGCTGGAGTGCTCAAGGGCCAGGGCTTCCCAGTTCTCAGTGTCTATGCCAGAGTTTTTAAGGTTGGCTTTGAGCCCATCTTTAAATCTCTTTTCCTGTCCACCAACATTCCGTTTTCCATTCTTGAGTTCAGAGTAGAGCAACTGCTTTGGGAGACGGTGGTCGGGCATCCGGACAACATGGCCGGTCCAGCACCATCTCCCAAATCAGTTGCTCTACTCTGAACTCAAGAATGGAAAATGGAATGTTGGTGGACAGGAAAAGAGATTTAAAGATGGCCTCAAAGCCCTTGAGCGCTCCAGCTGGAGGTCAGCTGTGACCAGCAATGTTGTAGAATTTGAAGAGGCCTGAATGGAGGGTGAAAGGGAGAAAGTGCCAAGAGGAAGGCACGTCAAACCAACCTTCCAATGCCCTCACAAACCGCCTTCCAATGCCCTCACTGTGGGAGAACATGTGTGTCAAGAATAGGGCTCCACAGTCACCTACATAGGCATCGCCAGTACACCGATCTTGGAAGACAATCCTACACGGACAAGGGATCGCCTAAGATATTCTGGGTTATGTGGCTGTGTGGAAGGGCGCTAACAGTCCTGCCACGTTAATGTATCAGTTGCATTGTTACCACATTGATCATACTTTTTTTTTGTAGTGTCAGGAGCAACTTGAGAAACTACAAGGCGCTTCTGGTGTGAGATAATTGGCCATCTGCAAGGACGTTGCCCAGAGGATGCCTGGATGTTTTGATGTTTTACCATCTTTGTGGGAGGCTTCTCTCATGTCCCTGCAATGGGGAGCTGGAGCTGATAGAGGGAGCTCATCCACGCTCTCCCCGGATTCGAACCTGCGACCTGTTGGTCTTCAGTCCTGCTGGCACAGGGGTTTAACCCATTGCTCCACCAGAGGCTCCTATTGAACATACTGAGAAGCCTTTGCGTCTAGGTGTGAGCAGGCAGAGAAAACTACGATTCCCAGAAGGCCATGCGCGAACGGACCTGCGCAGAAGAGCAGCGCATGCGCCTTGGCTTACGGCAGGACAGGGAAGGACCCGCTGTGACCTACAGGAGGAGAACATGGCGGCGTCCGTGGGGCTCGCTCAGAAGGTAACGAAGGAGGGCCTTCCTGCCAGTCTCTCCTGTGGCTTCTGGGGCCCAGGATAGCGCGGCGGGGCTTCGGGGCTGGAAAGGGGCCGGGGATGACTAAGCCAAGGGGCAAATCCATGGCTGGTAGGATTTCTGGGGCTGCTCCTCTAGGCCCGGCCTTGAGGCGGAGGTCTCTCTCTTCTGGTAGCAAAGGCAGCTCCTTAGGCTTCTTCCCTTCCCGGCAGGTCTTAAAGCAGGCATCCTCAAACTGCGGCCCTCCAGCTGTGTGGGCCTCCAACTCCCAAAAGCCCTAACGAGCTTGTTCAAAAGGAGATTCCACCTGAACATCAGGAAGAACTTCCTGACTGTGAGAGCCGTTCAGCAGTGGAACTCTCTGCCCCAAAGTGTGGTGGAGGCTCCTTCTTTGGAAGCTTTTAAACAGAGGCTGGATGGCCATCTGTCGGGGTGCTTTGAATGCAATTTTCCTGCTTCTTGGCAGGTTGGACTGGATGGCCCATGAGGTCTCTTCCAACTCTAGGATTCTATTATTCTAATTTCCAAGAGTTCTGGGGGTTGAAGGCCCAAACAGCCGGAGGGCCGCAGTTTGAGGGTGCCTGGCTTAGTCTTATCCAGATTTAGGTGCTTTGCTTCTTTAATTCAGGGCCATTTAAGCCCTTGTCAGTGAAAAGAACAGTGGCAGATATATTCGAGATTAGTAAAATGAATTTGTAATGTATTCAAGGGTGAATCTACAGCGTAGAGTTAACGCAGTTTGACACCACTTTAACTGCCACGGCTCAATGCTATGGAATCCCTGGATCCGTCAGACTACAACTCCCATCATTCCATCGCATTGACAGGGTTGTTGTTATAATTTTATGTGACTTGTTTTATATTTTTGCACCGTTTTTATTTTTTATTTATTTATTTACGTCACTTCTATCCCACCCATATCAACCCAAAGGCAACTCAGGGCGGCGTACAAATCAGCAACAATTAGATGCCATATATAAAAATACATACATCGGTTGAAAGCAAAAAAAAAAAAAATCACATCACAATACATTTAAAAACCATAAAAGCAATAAACAATAAAAATTATTAAAACAATGTCTTCTTGTTCAATTCCTCAACCGCTCCATCATCTTAGCCATTCTTAGTTCATATTCCAATTTGAGTTTATGTGGTCATGTTGAAGTTCCAAACACTTGCTCAAAGAGCCAGGTTTTCACTCTTTTTCAAAAGGTCAGGAGGGAGGGGGCCAATCTAATATTGCCAGGAAGGGAGTTCCATAACTGGGAGGCCACCACAGAGAAGGCCCTGTCTCTCGTCCCCGCCAGACGTGCCAGTGAAGCAGGCGGGATCGAGAGCAGGGCCTCCTCAGACAATCTCAAGTTCCTGGAAGGTTCATAGGGAGAGATGCATTCAGATAGATAAACTGTTGTTTTTTTTTTACCTGTTGTATGTTATATGTGCACCCTGGAGTGCCTTGTAAGCCACCCCGAGTCCCTTCAGGGAGATGGTGGTGGGATATAAATAAAGATGATGATGATAATTAGATATACAACAAGATTATTACACAACAAACAAGATCACTATGCTGGCTTTTGTATTGGATCCCATGTCGGACACTTCCCAAGTGTCTAGAACTATGTGATGTATTGGCGAATAATGCGAGTTGGGTGGCCTTTTGCAGCTGACAGATGATAATTTTGTCAGCACTGAATGTTTTCAAGTGCTTGCCAAGGTCTTTAGGCACTCCACCCAGTGTGCCGATCACCACTGGGACCATCTTTACTGTTTTTTTAAATTATTATTATTATTTTACTGACACAAAAACAAAGTATGTCACAGCAAACAAGATCTATATGCTGGATTTCATATCACAAAATCACAAGTCGAACACTTCCCAAGCATCTAGGACTGTGTGATGTATTTTTGAATGATGTGTGCAGATCCAAGTAAGGTGGCCTTTTGCAGTTGACAGATCATGATTTTGTCAATGTTTATTATTTCCAAATGCCGGCTGAGATCTTTTGGCATTGCACCCAGTGTGCCAATGACCACTGGGACCACCTGCAATGGTTTATGCCAGAGCCTTTGCAATTATTATTATTATTATTATTATTATTACTACTACTACTACTACTACTATTACTACACTGTAGAATTAACACAGTTTGTTACCACTTTAACTGCCATGGCTCAGTGCTGTGTAATGATGGGAGTTGTAGTTTAACAGATCCAGTGGATCTTTGTAGCCTGTCTATAAGGTGTGCTGCTGCCCCAGAAGACTTTCTGGAGAGATAATTCACCTTTCTTACTGGAAAAGGGAATTACTGGAAACCAAAGAAGTAACATTTGTAGGGCACATTCGACTTCAGGACTGTAGTTTGTCCTCAGATAGCATGATTCCAAGATGTAATCCCTATTTATTTTGCTATTGAATTGTACTTACATTAGTTGAAAATAGTAAGATTTAAGGGTTGAACATAAAAGTCAGTAGAAACCCATGATTAGAAACAACACTTTCAAAACTGATTGACTAGTTCGGTGATATTTGCTTTAAGTATTTTTCTCTATATTTTTTAAAAAGTCTTTCTTTTGTAGGTACGCCACTTCAGTACCTCTTTGGTTAGGCCAGCATCAAAACTGGTGCAGGTAAGTTTGATTAACATTTAATTGTGCTGATTGTATGCACTAATGTTAAGGCTGCATTCATTTTCTCACCTTGGAATAAGCTGCTTTCAGTTGGACAGCACCTGTTTTTTACTATACCTGTATTGGACTACACTGTAATCCAATTTAAACTGAACAAGAAAGTATATGGCCCAATGAATTTATAAATCTTCACAGATATTTAAAAAAATTCTGTTGCAGGGATTTGTAATTTAAATGGTATCTCATTGGATTTAGTGGGGTGCCTTACTCTGCAGTGTGCTTTGGTAGTTTTTGTAAATTATCTAGAGCCGTCCTTGCCTTGTTAATTAATGTTGGTATCTTTTGGTTCTGTGTTTTTTTGTGCAGCCCCCAATTCAAGTGTATGGATTGGAAGGACGATATGCCACTGCACTTTACTCAGCTGCTTCTAAGCAGAAGAAGTTGGAAAATGTAGAAAAGGAGCTGACTCGGGTGTTGGTAATAATAAGATTTTGTATCACTTTATTGCATGCCTCTTAATCTTTCTCAAAGAATACTAGTGCTAGTTTATGAACGATTTTGGGGCCACATTTTTTCCCTCTCCTGCCCTTGTCTTCATAGGCGTCATTTAAGCTGCAGTTTAAACTGTATAGTCAGTGTAAACTCATATGCAATTCAGTGTAGTTAAACACTGTGGTTTGAAACTGCATTATATGGCAGTGTAGAGGGGCCATAACTGAGGTAAAATAATTTCTTATGTCATTAATTAGAAATTTTGAATAATAAAGCTTATGCTACCAACCTCTTTCTCTTGGTTACTCTCAAACATGCTGAAAGATCCTTTTGCAGACTAACACAGATACGTCTTTCATTGTTTTTGCTGTGTGCCTTGACCTATAATGAGGTTTTCTTGAAAAGGCTTGTCTTTGCCTGAGGCTGAGAGAGTGTGACTTGCCCAATGCTACCCAGAGTGTTTCCATGGCTGACTTGGAATTTGAACCCTGGCCTCCAGAATCGTAATCCAACACTCAAACCACTACATCACTCTGGCACTAATTTCCTATATCTGTGGTTTATTATACTTCGTATGAAATAAAAAAAAATAACATTCTTAACTCCAGGTGAGGGCTTTTTGTACAACGGGAAAGAAAAGTAAGTTCTGAGTCACTTCCTATTTTTAAAGTAATATCTCAAATGGAGCGTGGGAACAAAAGCATGGCAGAAATATGCCCCATACTTCCTAAAGAATATTCAAGGACATTTGGGGGCAAAAAATATTCCCTTTTTTGTAAAGAATTACAGTAGGATGATGCAACCCTCCAAAGGCTTCCTGCGGACATTATGGATCCCTAACAGTTGCCCTTCCCTGATCCAAAGGATACCCTAAGGATTGTTCTACAGTTGCATATGTTCAGAATTTGAAATGAAAAGCAAGCTTCCTATGAAATCTCACTTTGGGATAAAATGCTTTGCAATTGGCCCTCTATACTCTGGAGGGTCAATTGCATAGCAATATAGAATATTCTATACATACTCTGTATCCACAGATTCAGCCATCTACAACTTCAAAACATATTTTTTTTAAAATCCAAGAAAACAAACCTTTATTTTGACATTTTATAGAAGGGGCATCATTTCATTGTGTCATTGAATATTAATATTATGTGCAACATGTTTATTTATACCTGGATTTTTCTCTCTACAACAGATACTCAAATAGCTTACAAGAAAAGCAATGCAATGTAATTTAAAAGCTAAAATATGCAAACATTAAAATAACATTAAATGTTAATGGCATTAAAACAAATAATTAAAATCCTTTACACTGATTAAAATGTATTCAGAGCTAAAACCACAGCATCCCCTGGCAGTCTTAAAAGCTCCCTTCTTTAAAAAGCCTGCCTGAATAAAAGGGGGTTAACCTTTAGCCTGAATATAATGGGACTTGAGCATCTCCAGATTTTGGTATCAACGGGGGCTCCTGGAACCAAACCTCAGAGGATGCCTAAAGCTCACCTTTTGTTTTCATCCTTATTCATGACAGTAGGAGTGTGTTTTCTGGGGTGTTATTACAACTTTGAGAATGCTAACTGCTCTAGTTTTAGGGTATTTTTGCTTTAAAGAACATTCCCATTCTTCATTTCTTCATTATGTACTGAGGGCTGCGTAATTTGCTTGAGGCTAGTGCACTTTTATGGGCTTCTTGTGCAGTCAAATGGTTACAGGCTTCTAAGAGGGTAGAAATGGCCTGGTTGATCAAGTTCAAATCCTCCATTCTAAAAAATGGGATTTCATACATCTGCATTGCTAAATTATATATAACTATAACTTTATTCTTGTATCCCGCCATCATCTCCCCAAAGGGACATGGGGCACAGAGTGCCTAGAAACAGAACATAAAATAAACACATTATAAAATACAATAAGTAAAATACATACGCATATAAAACACCAACTAAAACCCACTAAAACTGTGCTCATCAACCATTATTATTCTATTGTGGATTAAAAATGGGCTGTTAAGATCACTTCAGGAATGTTGTTATCTCCTAAATTTATTATCAGATGCAGTAACCATGCTGTGAATTTGTGCGACTGACTGAGCCTGCAGTTGTTGTTGTTTATTCATTCAGTCACTTCCGACTTTTCGTGACCTTACAGCCCAACCCACGCCAGAGCGCTTTGTCAGCCATGGCCACCCCCAGCTCTTTCAAGTCAATCTAGTCACTTCAAGGATGCCATCCATCCATCTTGCCCTTGGTCGGCCCCTCTTCCTTTTCCCTTCTATTTTCCCCAGCATCATTGTCTTCTCCAAGCTTTCCTGTCTTCTCATTATGTGGCCAAAATACTTCATCTTTGACGTACTGCAGACCTAATACATTTTTATGGATATGACCCCACAGATGGTGCAACTTATATCTTCATCAATGTGCATAAGATCTGAGGTGTTAGTACTCTGGATATCAATATTTTGTAACTTACTTACAAAAACTCTTATATCATTAAAACTACCCTTTGTGAAATCTAAGTACTGAAAGGCCTTGTCATTAATGAATATTTATAATATAGTTTAAAAAGCAAATATGTAATATTTTTGTAGTGACTGAACAAGTTATTTCATAGTGACTGAATTGATGGGAAGCTGATCTGATTTTAATAAAGTGGTACTTTTGTTACAATTCTAGACGCTAATGAAGGACCCCAAATTATCTGCTGTTGTTATGAATCCTCACGTAAAAGGTTCAGTAAAACAAAAGACTGTTAATGATGTTCTGCTGAAAGAGAAGGTATCTCCTATCACTGTCAATTTTTTCAGTAAGTATCAGTCTTTGTTGCTGGGTAGAATAATAGGATTGGGCTCTGAAAATAGAATAATGAACAGTAATCCCACATACAATGTAAGTTATCAGTTTTCCATTATATCTTTAAAACAGTTTGAGTGAATTCATCCGTTAATTCCTTCATTTCTCCTTCCTTCCTTCCTTCCTTCCCTCTTTCCTTTCTTCAAGATGTCCTTGCTGAAAATGGTCGCCTGAGCTACACTCCAAGTGTAATCTCTGCGTTTGGTAGGATCATGAGTGCACATCGTGGAGAGGTCTTGTGCTCTGTGACAACTGCTCAGGTAAGTCCCTGGCATATACGCTGTAAGACTCTTTCCTTATTGCGTTGTCATACACTGTTATAGTGTATAAAGGGAAAGATCATTACATCTATGTTTGCTAGCACATAGAATAGTACAACAGGTTATTTTATTTGTAGCATTTGTGCTAGAAAGAGCTTTTGCACTTATTGTTGGCCTAACCAAACACGCTTATATTTGTGGAGTACCAAATACATCTGAACAAATTTTACAGGAATCGGGAGAAACGAGTTGAGTATATGCATTCTCTTGCTTAAAAAAATGCAATTTTCCAAGCCCTGTACCTAATGATTTGATATATTTTGATAGTTTCAATCTCTACATAATATTTTACTCCTTGCTAACAATTTGCTGCCACCTATAACTCATTTTTCAATTTTTTGGTGATTTGGAAACAAACTCCACATTTATCTGTAGAAACGGTCTACAAATCCATTATTTTTTCCTATTCACTTTCCCTTTCCTTTTAATTTTAGGCAGGACAGTGTTCGTTGCTTTGAGATATGACAAATCTTATTTCTTGTATAGTAATTTAACACTACTGGTTTGAGTGATATTCTCATGAATTCATTTAAAAAATCCTGTTCTAGGCACTCTTTTGAGGCTTTACATTTTAATTAAAATTCTAGCTCTTACGCTTATTGCTCTCTCGTCTTAGTAACATAGTTACCCATTCTTTATGTATCTAAAACTCGTTTTCTTATGAGGGATGTGAGAGATTACATTGGTTGCACATCATCCATCTAATAAATTGTGAATGTTAATCTATATTACTGAAACAACAAGGCGCCAACACAATGTTTTGAAAGATACCACATTTCCATCCTACTTGACATTAAATTTGGGAATCGTTGATTTCTAAAATGTTTTCTAATCTTCCTTGATATTTTAGGCCTTGGATGAAGCCAGTATTACTGAGTTGAAAACAACTCTGAATGGCTTTCTAGCTAAGGGAGAAGTACTGAAGCTGGAAACAAAGGTACGAATACAGTTATATATTGTCCATATAGCAGATACATTTCCTCATAAATTGAAAATAAATCAGAAGAAACATGTTACATTGGGATTTACGGTCTATCTAACAGTCTACAAGTCAGAGTTTTAAAAAGTTTACAATTCCACGATGAATAGGTTTGTGTTCTGGTATCATCCTTAGCTGGAGGTACAAAGTGATCACAAAGAGAAAGAATCGTAGTGAAGGAGATCACATTGATACCCAACTGACAGACAAGAGAGCAAGGATGTGAGAGTAGAATGCCTGCCTGCTTTATCAATTCAAGATCCTACTTCTGACATTTCTTCTGATGTCTGGAACATGTTTTTTAAAACTGAAATAAAGCCATAAGTAACAACAGGAACCTTTTTCTGGCATAGTAATTTTTGTAATGAATGTTTCAGAGCAAAACAGATTTACAAAAGTGGTTCTGTACAAATAGACTTGTTTCATAGCCATGTAATTATTTCTGTTTTACAGTATTGATTTATCAACCAAATGCAAGCATTATAGTTGAATTTTTTAGTCTAATTTGCTTCTCTGTTATAATATAGAGGTAATCCATTGTTCCTAGTAATTGGTGTAATAAAGACTCCTGTCTATTTCTTTCTAGACTGACTCATCTATCTTAGGAGGAATGATTGTCAGCATTGGTGATAAATATATTGACATGTCTACAAAGACCAAGATTCAGAAGCTGTCCAAGATCATGAAAGAGACTATCTAGTGATCATCCAGATATATTTTTTTCATGAAAACCTATTCAACTCTCTTATGGAAATAATAAAAATGGCTCTCCTTCAACTGATGGTGTAGTACTTTGATTTGGTGCCTAAAAATTGATCTGCCTTGTGTACTCAAAGCTTCGTTAAGAGATGCCACAATTCAGATACGTTTTACAGGCATGATTTTTTCATAATGCATACATTTGATGTTTATTATTATTATTATCACCTTCATTTTCATCATTTTTATTTTTATCCACATTTACCCTGAGACTGGGATTCAAGGTGGAATATACATTTAAAAGATTTAAGAGTTTACAGTTCATAACATCCAAAAAATAATTCATAAAATCAAATTAAATCATTAACCATATTAAAAGCATACGCTTTAAAAAGTTTTTTTAAAGTTAAACAAGACAACTCTTACAGCCTTTTCCTTTAAAAATCCCCCATTTTTGAAAGCTTGTCTAAATAAAAAAGTCTTTGCCTTCAGAAAGTCAGGAGAGGACCATTCTAGGCACATTGGAGGGGGAGGGGGCGGATTCAAAAGCCTAGAGCAGGCATGGGCAAACTTTGGCTGTTGGGAATTGTGGGAGTTGAAGTCCAAAACACCTGGGGGGCCAAAGTTTGCCCATGCCTGCTCTAGAGGCAGCTGCTGAAAAGATCCTCTCTTTATGTTTCCACCAACTCTATCTGCCAAAGTGGTGTCACTGGGAGCACATCTCTCCTGGTGGATATCAGGGTCTGGGCAGGTTCATATAGAAAGCTGCAGTATGTCATATAGCTTGGACCTGAGGTGTTTATTCTTTGCAGGTCATAAACAGCACCTGAATGTGCCCAGAAAAAGAATGTCAGTAGAGCTCTTCAGCAGTGTTTAGTGATCCCTGTAACCTGCACCAGTTAAGAAAACGTAGGTCATGTGTCAATGCAACAAAATGTATAGCTGTCCCACAACCAGGTCTGAAGCCAGACTGACATGAATCAAGATAATATGTTTTACCCAGGAATCGAGTACTATTAATGCCAAAACTGGAAAAGATTCTTGTATTGAGGCTTCATTCTTGGTTGTGTCAACTGTTTGTGAGGAGAAAGCTTTAATAAAACTGACGTAGTGACTTTTTACCAGTACTTACAGAATACTAGTTTAAAATCTTTTACTTTGCACTACAGAATACTGGAAGACAAAGCGGGTTATGTTGCTCCCCATTAAGGAGAGTGTTTGCTATTTTTCCCCTGGGAAATAGTTTTAAGCATGAGTATTTTAACTTACCTTGGCATAAATGAGGTTTGTAAAAGCAAATATGATACGTACAGATTGGATTCAAATGACCCAAACTATGCTGTAGATTTCAGGGTTTGGGCCTTTTACGAGCACACAATATTAGAAGTACTTTACCATGGGCAGTAGCCAAGAGACTTGCTGCGAAAGAACAGAGGGAGGCATATTTGTCTTGGACTCTGCTCAGCATTCAAGGCCAAGCGAGCAGCCTGAAACAGAGAAGCCAGGAGACAAGACTGTGCCTTAACAGAAAACCTGGAGATGCCTCTTCTAGTCATAATAGTAGATATTGTGCTGGCAAACCTTTAAAAAAGACAAAAAAGTGGCTAATCTAAAATGAAAGTGAGCCAGATAGTAACATCTATGGTCAATATAATCATGTTTTGTTATTGGTACTCTGATTACATATATAGTAAAATAATTATTTTTTTTCTAGGTCCGATTCTGATTCAAAACATTTGTAGCATTTCAACATCTCAGTAGAGACACGTGTGCAACATGCTGAGGATGCCTGCCATAGATACAGGTGAAAGGTCAGGAAATAATGCTTCTGGAACATGGCCATACAGCCTGAAAAACCTATAACAACCCAGTGATTCCGGCCATAAAAGCCTTCGACAATACATGCTAAAATAATTTAGAATTTATTTTAAACAGGTGCTTATTGAATTTGAGCTTGCCCATAATATTGTACTACAAATCCCATAAGTGCCCTAGTTTTGTCTCAAAAGGCTGCCTGATTCCACCTCCACAATTATCTCTCAATAATCGTCAGAATTAATATGCTGCCAATGAAATCAATAAGCTATTTTAACTGCCAGGAAGAGAATGCCCGTCACAGAACAGACTAATTGTTAAAGAATGAAGTCATATGACGAAAAATGTGAAAGATGGTCTACAGCAGGGGTGAGCAACAGATGGTTACCCAAGAGAGGAGATATGATAGCCATGTATAAATATGTGAGAGGAAGTCACAGGGAGGAGGGAGCAGGCTTGTTTTCTGCTTCCTTGCAGACTAGGACACGGAACAATGGCTTCAAACTACAAGAGAGGAGATTCCATCTGAACATGAGGAAGAACTTCCTGACTGTGAGAGCCGTTCAGCAGTGGAACTCTCTGACCTGGAGTGTGGTGGAGGCTCCTTCTTTGAAAGCTTTTAAACAGGCTGGATGGCCATCTATCAGGGGTGATTTGAATGCAATATTCCTGCTTCTTGGCAGGGGGTTGGACTGGATGGCCCATGAGGTCTCTTCCAACTCTTTGATTCTATGATTCTTCCCTTGGCACAAACATAAAATCCAGCAACTAATGAAGCGCCATACATACATCTAGATGAAAGAGCGCTATGTTTTTGGAACATGATTACTCAGGAGAGCTCTGGTCTGCATTTTATCTTCGTGCTTTACCTATTTATACCATCAGGAGTATATTAAATGGAACTTAGGGTGATTGAGATTACTATTAGAAAACTATTAGAATCATAGATTCATTGAGTTGGAAGAGACCTTGTGGGACATCCAGTCCAACCCCCTGCCAAGAAGCAGGAAAATCACATTCAAAGTACCCCTGACAGATGGCCATCCAGCCGATTTAAAAGCCTCCAAAGGAGCCTCCACCACACTCCCTAGGCAGAGAGTTCCACTGCTGAACAGCTCTCAGAGTTAGGAAATTCTTACTAATGTTTGTGTGGAATCTCCTTTCCTGTATTTTGAAGACATTGTTCCGTGTGCTAGTCTCCAGGGCAGCAGAAAACAAGCCTGCTCCTTCCTCTCTATGACTTCCCCTCACATATTTATACATGGCCCTCATCATGTCTCATCTCAGCCTTCTTTTCTGCAGGATAAACATGCCCAGGTTTTTAAGCCACTCCTCATAGGGCTTGTTCTCCAGATCCTTTGAGTCACCCTCCTCTGGACACATTCCAGCTTGTCAACATCTCCCTTAAATTGCAGTGCCCAGAATTGGACACGGTATTCCAGGTGTGGTCTGACCAAGGACAGAATAGAGGAGTAGCATGATTATGTGAGAAAGACTGGAACTGGAACACATCTTTTTAAAATGGTGGCTTAAAAATAGGTAGAGTAACTTAGAACTGTGACAAAGTAATTATATTTTTAAGCCCTTTATTGAAGGAGAGCTTATGGAGGGTCTCATTTCATTCTTCATCAAGGTCTTGGCCTCCCAACTTTTCCAAAAACACAAGCAATTTGCTTTTACTTGAGGGCATGCAGTTCTCTCTATCTCCTTCTCCCCCACAGTCCAGTGATAAGGGCTCCTTTATCATTAAGTCTGAATGACCAAAAGCACCACAACACTCAGCTTAGATGAAGCTCTTAAGTAAAATTAGGACAGCCAAAGAAATTTTGGAATGATGACATTTAATATTTTTTCACCACTAAAGGATTTATTATTATTTTCTTCTTCTACCACAACAATTTGTTATTTTCATATACATTATATTTCATAAAATGTACTGATATGGAAAAAGGAAAGCATGGGTTTAGTTCTATTTACATATTTTAATTCAAACGTTTTTGTAACAACACTGAAAAATAGAAACAAAAGGTTTTTTTAAATTGTGTTTTCAACCAGTCAGTGGTAAACAACATCATGCCTGTTAAGTTAAGCTTCCTCTAAAACTTGGGCAGTTGAAATTTATAACTAAAGCATGTTTCTCTGTTCAAAAAAATACACAAGTATGTAACTTCTGATACAAAATTCTACACTGTCTTCAATAAATAAATAATAAAGCAATTCTTAAAAGTATGAAATGTAAACTTTTTTGTCCCTCCAACATACAGGATTTTTAAAAAATAATTGCTGAAAATAATACAGTGGTCTCCTTGGGATTAATAGTACACAGACACTTTCAAGCACAGTTCACATTTATCACCAGACCTTACCTACCTATCAAGTATAAAGCTATCCTAATTTCCTAATGGAAATAATAAAGATTTGCTGTGCTAGAGAACACCATCTCCACAGGAAACATGGAAACCGATATCAAAACAACATGCAAAAAACAGTAGAGCCTACATCTCACAAGAACACTGACATGCTAACAGACCAGTCAACACCTTCCATTCTGAAAGCTGTTACAAAAATACCCATTTACGCATGATCCTTGGGTAACGAACTGAAGGACTGGAAACACAACGCGGATGAATGCCCTCGGTACCAAAATGAAGATGCTCCTAAATTGTTGTCGTTAGCCTCGTACCTTGTTCAGCAAAGAGTGTACGTTTATGATTCAAGTGATTTGAGAGGACTTTGCTGAATCAAGTTTTTTTAAAAAAAAAGTGGGTTGATGTAGGAGTGAATCCGCAAAACAGCAATAACTGTCTTTTAACACGGATTGCTCACTGTGGAAATCTGATCAACGGCTAATGTTGAAATGGACAATTTGCAATGAAGCACGTTTGCAGTTAAAAATAATTGATGAGCTACAGTATGCTGCCACCCTGACTTCAAAACTATGGTGTCAATTTTTTTAGGCACAGTGCAATTTAATAAATTACTTCCTTTTGACTGCTTGTCTTACTAGAGCTTTCTCGAGTACCTTTTTCTCATCAATGTTGGTTCATCTTCCCCAGCCTTTCACAATATAGCAGCAATTTACTAGTTCTGTTTCAGTGGTACAGTATAGAAACACAGGATCTCTCAACCCTTTTTTAAAAATGTGATTAATTGTGGTTTACGACATAGCTGAAACACAGCTCTAAAAAAAAACTGGTGTGTGCATACACAGTTTGGGGTAAGGATGCCCCCAATGTAAATAACCAACATCTGGTCCCCATTCC